AGTACCACGACGCATGTTTTCTTTCACAAAAAATATTCCTGCAGCTTCATAAAATTACAGTTGAACCACTGATGTCACATCGACTATTTTAATGATGTCTTCACTACGTTTCTGGTTCTTGAACGTGTCAGTTGCATTGCTGTCTATGGAGGGTCAGAAAGCTCTCGGATTTCATCAAAAATATCTTAATTTGTGTTCTGAAGATGAACGAAGGTCTTACGGGTTTGTAGCGACATGACTGAGTAATTAATGACAGAATTTAAATTTTTGACTGAACTATCCCTTTAATTTTCAATTCTGAGAAATTTACTGTTCGTACTATTTTACTATTTTCGTACAATTTCATGTTTAAATCTCGCAATTCTGACTTCATAACTCGCAATTGCGAGTTACAAAAATTGTATTCAGTGGCAGAAACGGGCTTCCATAAAATACTTCATTACCAGCCATGGATTAATTTAATCATATAACAAGTTCCACAGTGAAAACAATGAGTTTGAAGAGATTGTCATGATGATAGAAACTCAACATCATTGTTTTGAGGACTGTTATATTTTGTTGTCTTTGTGCAGGATTTTTGTTTTAGCTTTGACAAAAAATGCTTGTCACTGAATATTATTGCATTGCAGATGGTTAGAACACAGTAGTGAGTGATTTTCATTTTTTTATGGTTTTTGAAACTGATTCCAAAGTTTGGGGTTGGTAAGATTTCTTAAGTGTTTTTGAAAGGAGTCTCTTAAGCCTCGTGCACACTGGGACGATTATCGCTAGCGTTTTTCGAGACGTTTTTCTACGCGTCTTTGTGTTCATACCAAGCAGCAACCTTCCGGTCTCTCTCGTGAAACCAACACGGCAGAGACTAAAACTGCAATTCATCGACTGGCCACAAAAGGGAGTCAGTCCCATAGACCAGAGGTCCCCAATAGTGCTGGGTGGTTTGACCAAAAATGTAAATCACGGTATTTTTTTTAATTATACTGGTTTCACGGTACATGACGGTATTTTTTTTTCCATGCATGACCGGGTGTTTACCATATTTTCTACTGATTGAGAGAGGAAATACTGCAGTATATTGACTTAGAATGTCCTATTTTACTGTCATGATGAGTGAATATTGTCAAAAAATACCACACTAAATAGTGACTAAACACGACCCCTTTTAATACATGTTAACCAGGAGTCACTCTCATTTATAATCGCGGCATCGTCTGATAAAATCAACATGCATCTACACTAAAGAGCGGCTATGCGGTTGTTTTGGCTATATTACTTTTTTGTCTCATGCAGCGCACTGCCTGCGTCTGAGTAACCAACTAAAAAAAAACAACAAACAAAAAAAGTGCATGTGATATTAACAGACGAACTACGCTCATATTTATAATTATAGTTCTACAGCTTCAGTTTCTGAACTTTTTCACACTTAGTAACACATACAGCTGTTCCCTCACCACAGTGCAACAGTGAAAAGGGACCCCTTTCAAACAGTGTCGCGTTCCGAACGTTGTTTAAGCGACATACACCGTATGTCGTATTGTCGTATTGCTGTATTTAAAAAAATTAATATCATTAAAAAAATAAACACCGGTATTTAGCCTGCCATAGACTCCCCATGTTAAAATGCCCAACTTTACAGCAGAAAAAAATATGTTTACAGCCTGGTACAAAAAGTGGTTTTGGTCTATATAGCTAATTTTGCCATTCATGACAACTGTAAGGGGGGTGAATTTTTTTATAACTCATCTGTTTAAATTATATTAAGCCTTAAAGTTCTGCATAATTAAGGGCGTGGCCACTTGAGTGGCAGGTGGATTGCTGCTGCTGTCACCGCCGTCGAGCTAGGTGGACGTGGTTTCAGCAACCTGCTCCCTGCTCATTTTCGATTATCTGTGAGTGACGCGCTGCCAAGATGGCGACGGCCCGCTCCGCCCACTTTGAGCTTCAAAAACGCTTTTCAGAAACCTATGGGTGACGTCACGGACACTACATACAAACAGTGTCGCGTTCCGAACGTTGTTTAAGCGACATACACCGGTATTGCTGTATTTAAAAAAATTAATATCATTAAAAAAATAAACACCGGTATTTAGTATGAACCGGTATACCGCCCAGCATTAGTCCACAACCACTAGGTCGCAACCCACTACGGGGTCGCAAGAACATTCTGGGAAAAATAGATATAACACTCTGTTATTTATTTATGTTAATGATTGTTCTAATTATTCTGTATTTTCATTGTATGCGATTGATATGGAGCAGCAATTTGACAATTTCATGTTAAATAAGTAGCTAAATGAAAGATTGCTCTGATCTGTCACATATTAGCAGTTAAACGGATCGCAGTTGATCCGTAATACGTACGGATGAGACCCTACCGTTCGGCACGCACGTGATTCACAGATTAATTTGCCAATTTACACGTACAAGCAATTTTAAACCACAAGAAGAAGAAATGAAAGAGAGCTCAATTCGTTATGCACGCGTTCTCGCACACAATCAAAGCGCGCACAAGAGACGTGTTTCAGACAGCGCGGAAATACCGAGTTGCGTATACATACACATAAAAAAAATTATATATATATATATATATATATATATATTAGGCTATATATATATATGGTCCGTGAGAATATTTTCCAAACATAACCGGTCCGTGGTGTAAAAAAGGTTGGAGACCCCTGCCATAGACTCCCCATGTTAAAATGCCCAACTTTACAGCAGAAAAAAATATGTTTACAGCCTGGTACAAAAAGTGGTTTTGGTCTATATAGCTAATTTTGCCATTCATGACAACTGTAAGGGGGGTGAATTTTTTTATAACTCATCTGTTTAAATTATATTAAGCCTTAAAGTTCTGCATAATTAAGGGCGTGGCCACTTGAGTGGCAGGTGGATTGCTGCTGCTGTCACCGCCGTCGAGCTAGGTGGACGTGGTTTCAGCAACCTGCTCCCTGCTCATTTTCGATTATCTGTGAGTGACGCGCTGCCAAGATGGCGACGGCCCGCTCCGCCCACTTTGAGCTTCAAAAACGCTTTTCAGAAACCTATGGGTGACGTCACGGACACTACATACATGTTTTTATACAGTTGTTGGTTCATACCCAAGCGATTTTCGCTGGCGATGAGCCGAGTGAACGTGCAAATTCACTCCCTGACATTAGATGGCGCTTAATGGAAAAACAGAAATACCCCGGTACACAACGAATCCTATTTGATCTGCAATTCCTCTCCATAACAACTCCTTTTGTGCTTGAGCGCCACCAAGTCGTGTTTTACTGTAATTTCAGCAGCTCCAGGCACATAAACAAAAGCGCCAATCTCATTGGTCGGCCAGTTTTTAACGCGGCGGAAAAACAGAAATACCCCGGTACACAACGAATCCTATTTGATCTGCAATTCCTCTCCATAACAACTCCTTTTGTGCTTGAGCGCCACCAAGTCGTGTTTTACTGTAATTTCAGCAGCTCCAGGCACATAAACAAAAGCGCCAATCTCATTGGTCGGCCAGTTTTTAACGCGGCGCTTTTCAACCCAAAAAAACGAGCGATAATCGTGCGCGATAATCGTCCCGGTGTGCACAAGCCTTTATGCTCACCAAGTCTGCATTTATTTGGTAAAAATTCACTATCGATACACTATTGATATTATTACTACTATTTAAAATAACTGTTTTCTATTATAATAGATTTTCTAATGTAATTTATTCCTGTGATGAAAAGCTGAATTTTCAGCATCATTAATCCAGTCTTCAGTGTCACATGGAATCCTATTTGATCTGCAATTCCTCTCCATAACAACTCCTTTTGTGCTTGAGCGCCACCAAGTCGTGTTTTACTGTAATTTCAGCAGCTCCAGGCATATAAACAAAAGCGCCAATATCATTGGTCGGCCAGTTTTTAACGCGGCGCTTTTCAAACCAAAAAAACGAGCGATAATCGTGCGCGATAATCGTCCCGGTGTGCACAAGCCTTTATGCTCACCAAGTCTGCATTTATTTGGTAAAAATTCACTATCGATACACTATTGATATTATTACTACTATTTAAAATAACTGTTTTCTATTATAATAGATTTTCTAATGTAATTTATTCCTGTGATGAAAAGCTGAATTTTCAGCATCATTAATCCAGTCTTCAGTGTCACATGATCCTTCAGAAATCACTGTAATGTGCTGATTATTTATTATTATCAATGCTGAAAACAGTTATGCCGCTTTATATTTTAGTGGAAATCGCGATACATTTTTTCAGGATTCTTTGAAGATTAGAAAGTTTGCAAGAAGAGCATTCATTTGAAACAAATCATTTATAATAATATCTTCACTGTCACTTTTGATAATTGAATGCATCCTTGCTGAATAAAAGTACTAATTTCTTTCAAAAATCCTATAAACCCCAAACAGTAAAATTACTGTAATACAGTTTATTCCAATAAAGTATTGTAGTAAATACTAACATGATGCATAAATACTTTAGAATTATTTTTTTACATTACAATAATGATAAGTTAGGGAAAATGTGCTCAGATTTAATGACATGCAATCACACAAGTACAGTGATACATTCACATGAAAAACAACTCAACTACAATCCCCCTTCGCTTCACCCTCACAGTCTTGAGTCTGTGCCAGAACATTCCTCCATATCTCTCGCTCTCTTTCCTCCACATGTGTTTTCCAGCTGTGTGTTTGAGGCCTCCCCCATAAAGCTGAGCTGGACGGAAGAGAATTCTACATGATCTTCAGTTTTCTTTCTTTAGAAAGCAAGAAATCAAAACACTTTTTACTTTCTCGATACAAGCTGCATATTACAGAATCATAGACTTTGAGTTTTGCACAGGCAACACCACTCAAATTTCTATAAAAATCTTGTCGTTTATTATGAATTTATAGTACAAGCAGTCACTTATGTATTTGGGCAGAAACAGTTGTTGCTATTAGGAAAATACAGAGATTTAAACCAATCATGCTGTCATCAACTTCTCCTTTGTTTTCTTATTTATAGACTTCAGATGTGGCTAAAGAGACGTTTGTTCCACCAGGTCAGTTCCAGAGTTGTTACATATGTAATTTTCCGTGCTCAGGACATTTGATTCAATAAATTCGACAATGTGTCAGTTTGCAATCCTGCTGATGAAGGCCAACGTCCTGCAGTGTTCAGCTCCAGCCAGCTCCAACACACTTGTCTGGAAGTTTCTGAAGACCTTCATTAACCTTGGTTCAGGTGTGAACTCTGCAGGACGGTGGCCCTCCAGGAACAGGTTTTGGAGTAAAGCTTCACGTTGTTCATGTTTTCTCAGATGCTGACTGCATGTTGAGGGATGCCAGCAGTCAGAGAATCCCCAGACTCACAGTGAAGGTAAAACACCACATCCTCAAGACTGTTTCACGCTCATTTGAAATACTTAATAAGAGGATAGATTATTAAACGGCATAAAACAGGTAGTCTGTTATGAACAGTGCTGCCCTCTGCTGGCACACATGTGCACTAGAGTCTCAAACTGTGTCTGAAACCTCTGCATATTCAAAGTCTAAACTGCGATCAGGATATGATTGGTTGAGCTGAAGACTCTTTGTTGTTTTGTGTGTGTTTTAGAGCAGGGAGCACTGCCTGTCTCTTCTGCAGGAGTGTCTTACCAATCATAGGGGGGCAGCAGAGATTTCACACAGGTAATGCAGACATCAAACACCAACAATGAATGCCGCACTCCTGTCTTATTGTTGCAATGCTATATCTTTTTGTATTTCAATATCCTCCTGAGATGCAGCAGTTTCTGTCCATTGGTGGTGGTGTGTTTTTATCAAGGATAATACTAGGGCTGCAAAACGATTAGTCGCGATTAATCGATTCAAAATAAAAGTTTATTTACATACTATATGTGTGTGTGTACTGTGCATATTTATTATGTATATATAAACACACACACATGTATATATTAAGGAAAAATATGTTAGATTTCTATGTAAAATATTTATTAAATTATATAAAAGCGTCTGATAAATGACTAAATAAATATACAAGTACATACAAATATTTTTTTAAATGTATACATATGTGTGTATTTATATATACACATAATAAATATACACAGTACGCACACAAAAAGTACGTAAACATAAACTTTTATTTTGAATCGATTAATCGCGACTAATCGTTTTGCAGCCCTAGATAATACACACACTTATACAGTTCAAAAGTTTGTACGATTATTTTTGTCTCTTCTGCTCACCAACGCTTTATTTATTTGGTCAAAAATACAATAAAAATGGGAATATTGTGAAATGTTATTACTATTTAAAATAACTATTTTCTATTAGAATTTTCAGCATCATTACGCCAGTCTTCAGCGTCTCATGATCCTTTAGAAATCATTCTAATATGTCGATTTGCTGCTCAAGAAACATTTCTTAGTATTATTCTGCTGTTTATTATATTTGTGGCAAACATTATTTTTTTTCAAAATTGTTTATAGTTCAAAAGAACAGCATTTATTTGAAATAAAAGTCTTCTGTTACAATATAAGTCTTTACTGTCACTTTTGAACAGCGTAATGCATCCTTCCTAAATACAATTATTAATTTCTTCAATCAATCAATCAATCAATGTCACTGATCCCAAACCTTTTGAACAGTTGTGTATGTCCATTTTTCAGATCAATCTTGATATATCTTGCGAAGAACATCCTGGGACTTTCTGTTGTCGTAAATGTTTGGGGACATGTCCTCAAATATAATATTAAAAGAAATATGTATTATTGATATTATTAATAAGTCAAATTTAGTTTGATATCATTTGTAATGCTTATTTTGATTTATATTCTTTCCATCACACACGTTTTCTCCTTGTGTAGCTCTGACACACTTGATCAGGCTGTAGAAATAGAGCACGAGATCTTCAGAGGCAGTAAATCAGCAAACCTGTACAAGGCTTCCGTTCTCAAGAGAGTGAGTGTTACTAATGCTCGGCTGCGTGTTAATCTCATCTCATTTAAAACGAATTGTCTGTAATATGCATTTATCAGTGACATGTTGCAATAAATTCACATATAACACTCTCCAGGTGTCAGAGATGAAGAAAAGTGCAGCTGCAAGTGTTGCTGAAGAGAAACAGTCTGAATCGAATGAAGAGACGGCGACCTGCTCTTCATCATCTCAACCTCTAGACGGCTTCACTTCAGCCTCTCAAGTCTACTCAGTGAGCCAATCACAGTTTGTCCTTAAAGACAGGTGGAAATGCAAACTTAAAATGTGTTTAAACTAGTGCTGTCAAAGGATTAATCGCGATTAATCGCATCCAAAATAAAAGTTTTTGTTTACATACTATATATATATATATGTGTACTGTCTGTATATATAAATACACACACATTGTGAAAATATTTACATGTACAGTGGGGCAAAAAAAATCTAAATTATATCATATATAAATATATTTAATATATAAACATAAATTTTGTTTTCTAAATATATACTGTATGTATGTGTATTTATATATACATAAAAATATACACAGTACACATACATATAGTATGTAAACAAAAACGTTTATTTTGGATGCGATTAATCGTGTATATATAAATACACACACATGCAGGTATATATTTAAGAAAAATATGTTACGTTTATATATTAATTATATTTATATGTAAATATTTTCAAAATATATGCTGTATGTGTGTGTGTTTATATATACATAATAAATATACACGGTACACACACACATATTACGTAAACAAAAACTTTTATTTTGGATGCGATTAATCGCGATTAATCATTTGACAGCACTAGAAATAATATAGTGCTGTATTTTCTGGGATTCAGTTGGACCATGAAACGCAATTATAGAAATTGAAGTTTAATACTGTTCTATCCACAATGAAAGCAGACAACTGATAAATAGTCGTCATCTTTTTCATCACATTCTAGCTGAAGAGGAAGCGTGTAGGAGCGGGATTTCGTGGCTCGTCCAGCCTGTTTCAGACAGCTGGAGATCTGCTGAAAAACTCTCAGAAGGAGACGCTTGCCACGGACAAAACACCTGGAGACCCCATCTGTGAGGAAGAGGAGGTGGAAACAGGAAAAACACCGAAGATGAAAAGCAGTAAAACAACTCCTGCTGACTCGTCTCCCATCAAAGCCAAAACCAGCACGACTTCCTCCCTGAGCAGCCCCAGTAAAAGACTCACTAAGAAACAGCAGAAACTAGCAGAAGCGGCCAAAGACATGCGCCGTATATCACAGTATTTCGGAAAAAAGCAAGTGGACACCACTCAGACGAAAGCAGGAAGTGTTATATCAGAGCCTGAGGAAGAAAGATCTCAGAATCACTCTCCTTTACCAAATCACACCGACTTAATAACAAAGAATAGCACGTCTACAGATGTAGAAAGCGTCTCAGAGAATGTCACTGCTGTTCTTCTGCAAAAGAGTCCATCTGCAGAAGAGACGGCCAGCCGAGACGGGACGCCCGTGAACACTGAGATCACAGCGGTTCAGGGGTATGACGGAGGAAGACGCTGTCTGAGAGCAGTTTGATATTTATTTAACATGACTTTTGAATGTGTTCTGAACTGTTGTTTCTTTGTCCAAACAGAGAGACTCACGAATCTGATGCCCACGGAAAATCACCAAAACAAGTAACACCACAATTATTCTTTATCAAAGGGGTCATATCACGAGAAACATTGTAAAGGGACCTTAGGGAAACATTTAATTATTAAAAAAAAAAGTATGATGTATGACCCCTTTAACACTTTTTAGGAGCTGTTTGTCATGTCAGTAGTTTTTATCCGTACGTTTTTTTGATCTGTTTCTTTTCCACAGTCACATGAGAACGGATCACCGTCTCCTCCGGCGAAACGCAGCCACGTGATGAAGGACACTAAGAGAGTGACCTTTGACCCGGTGGTGCAGGAGACGCAGTTTGACACAGTGAATGGAGACGCCGCTGAGATCTCACAAAAGCCTGTGACACTCAAAGAAGCTGCTGATATCGTGGTGCGATGCCTGGATCCGTTCTACAAAAAGGGCAAATTTGCAACAAAGGTGATTTTTCTCAACTGTTGGGTCGCACGTCTGTTCTGGATGACGAATGCTAACAACAAATGTACAAAAAAATAATAATGCTAACTTATAAAATAATAATACAAGAATATAATAAAAATAATTTTTTTAATTTAACTATACACTAATGTTCAAATGTTTGGGGTTGCTAAGATTTTTTAAATATTTTTGACTGCATTTGGTACAGTGTCAATGTAAGAAAAAAAGAAAGAGGGATGGCAGACTTTTATTAGACTGCGTTTCATTTTGAATCATTTCCCCCAGGATTTGTTCAAATCCTTTGCCCGTTTCCTCTCCCATCTTCTCACGGAGGGAAAAACTGCAAATCGAGGCCAAGGTGAGACTATCCTTAACCTCATAAAAATCCAGCAACATCATACATTTTTCAAGTGCTGATTTAGCATTGCTCGTCTTTCCCCACAGTGAAGATGGAAGCAAAGAGCCTCATCAAGGGCTTCTTCAGCAGGATTCAGCGCTGTGAGAGCGAGACAGATTGGAGACACTTGAAAGTCGAGGACAGATAGCCATCTTGGTCATTATGTCCCTTCATCCAAACCTCTGGAGCTCCACCGATCCCTTTATTGTCAGAGATGCCGTGTGTTTAGCAGCATGCTGCTGTATATCTCAGGTGTATGGTGGCGGCCTACATTGCACATTAATATGAACTGCTATGAAAAATGCTGTTTTATTTTTGAAGTCAAGCAACAGACGCCATAACATAGCTGTTATGTAGCATTAGTTGCTTATAAAGCACTCAAAGTAGTATGAGCTGTAATGAAAACTACATTAAAAGGCAAATGTGCACAAATGGAAGAATTCATGCTGAGTAATTTATGGGGCGTAATTGGTAAGTTGCTTGTCTTTGCTTGTCCGGTTTTTCCAGCAGCCTCGGTTGCCGAAATATTTTCCACATTCATTTTCTCCACAGGGATTACAAAAGATTCCTACATGTTTAGGCCATGAACCAAACCAACCAACTCCCAGATGAATCACAACAATAGATGTGTCCCAGTTTGCATACTTATGTACTATTCTATGTCATTTTGTAGTATTAATAGTGCGATTAGTTTATAATTCCAAAACAAAAAAGCGCATGCAAATACCAGATTAATGCACTTAATTCGATGAAAAAATGAAGTGTGGAAATGTTGCAGCTTTAATTACTTCATGGTGGAGGAGGGGCTCCAATCAATCAGATGTTGGATGACAAAAGAGCCTTATAACATTCATACACTAGACGGTAAAGTCCATAGTGTATAGTGTGTCATTTGGAAAGCAAACTATTGTAATCTTGTACTTTTGACATCTTTTATGAGTGCAAGAACTGCACATCAGCATTGCATATTGATATAATGATTTTCACAAGACTGATGGTCATCGGACTGATGGTTTCAATGGTCATCGGCATCGTAAATCCTCGAAAGTTTTTTATATTTTGATTTAAAAAAAATGTATGTACATTTTTAACACTATACTTTGTATTGTACCACCTTTGCATGCAGTTAAAAAACTAGTTAACGCTAATGCGAGGGTGTTTCTAATGCAGCGTTTCTGGGAGGGGACGGTAAATTTGCCATTTTTCTCTCTTCTGACTACTTTTATCAGCCTCTCAATTTTTTTCCTTTTTTTGGGAAAATCACGAAAACACTATGGTGGCGTTTTTCTTTTGCTTTTTGAGCAACTGGGAATGCAAAAAAGTAGATTTGTGGTACTCTCCCATTCACTGCTCTCGAAGTTTACCCAACTATGACGACTTCCGCTGCTGAGAAACCCGGAAATGTGGAAAAAGGTCCATTGGATCCGAAACAACTGCTGTTGCTTTACAGCGCCTTTTGCTTCTGTAGTAACCGCAACTTCTCTGATTGGTGGATCTCTCTTTAGGATTATGGGTAGTGTAGTTCTTCACTGGGAATTCAGCTATTAACGCTTTTGTAAAGTATAGTTCACACTGCCTTCTACAGAAGGATAAATCATCACTTAACCTTTGAGGTCTGTCTTGAAATGTATATGTTATTGTTAAATATCAGTACTTTATGAAGCAAATGAATGGGGTTTTTACTGGGAGTTAGGAACCCGGCTGTTTTTGGTTCAATTCTCAGATATTGGTTGCCAACGTCTCTTATAATTCATTTGTCTTGTTTTTTTTCTTCCTTTGCACTTAAGAAATACCCAAGTCTCATTTCATTAAATCTGGGTTTGTGCTATTATTAGGCACTACTAAAATTACACCTTCAACCTGTTGTTGTAAATTGAGTCATGAATATTAATAACCTTAGGCGACCTGTCAGTTAATTTCTCAGTGGCCAAGTTTTTGCTCGTGCGTAATAAATAGAACATGATGTTTGCATATCTGTGTCAGTCCAGATGCTCAGCATTAGCTGAGTCTGGTTTAATCTCCTCATCATAAACTGGGTCTGCAGTGTCAAAGCATTAGTGTGTTATTCTCACCGTAGCGAGTACAGATGCATCAGCCAGACAAGGATGATTGTGACCCTGCACCACAAAACCAGTCACAAGGATGCATTTTTTGAAATTGAGCTGAAGAAATAAGCTTTCCATTGAGGTATGGTTTGTTAGGATAGGACGATAGTTGGTTGAGAGACAACTATTTGAAAATCAGGAATCTCAAAAATATTGAGAAAATCACCTTTAAAGTTGTCCAAATGAAGTCAAGTGCAGTGCATATTACTAATCAAAATGAAGTTTTCATATTTTCACGGTAGGAAAGTTACGACATATCTTCATGGAACATGATCTTTACTTAATGTCCTAATGATTTTTGGCATAAAAGAAAAATAGATCATTTTGATCCATACAATGTATTGTTGGCTATTGCTACAAGTATACCCCAGCGACTTAAGACCGGTTTTGTGCTCCAGAGGCACATTTGGGCTTGTTTTGTTTGGATAATGTATGGTGCACTGGTCTGAATTTCTTCTGTGTTATTTAGTGATAGATTTATCCAGCTCAAACATTATCAGCTAGACTTAGAAAAGAGTTGTTCCCTTATCTAGTCATTATTAGGAACAACTGGAAAAGCACTGTGAACTCATTGGTCAAATAGGAGCCATGTACGTTTGATTTCTGGACTGAATGCTGATCATAAAATGCAACCGCTGTTTCACATTTCAGATTGGATTTATTTTCCAGTAGTCCGATCATACTCAAAAGAAGTGCAATTACTTCAATGTCATCACGTTGTGTCTGAATGAGAAGAGGATGGACGGCACAGACACGCCTCTCTCTGTGGGTTTAGGATGATGTCATTGCCCTCCGGATTGAATCGCCGTAAAATGCTGAGCCATAGAACAGCCCGTGACCGATCTCTGTGACTTTCAGGACACGCTGTTATGCTGCACTCTAGAAGTGATGAGCCAGGAACTGTATTTTTAAATCTGAGAGAGCTGTCCTGTGGTTGTGCAGTCAGTGGGATTGGAAAGGAAGGCAAATGGAGAATTTGGTGGAAAGGGAATCTGGAGCAGTGGTCTTTTGGCTGAGGAGGACTGCAGAGGTGCTTCGTTGGGAACGAGTCTAGTTATTCCTCTCTGGAAGTAATGAAATGACAGCGATCTTTGACTTTGACATATCCCAGATTAGATTCAAGCAAAGATTTTATGTTGCTATATAGATTTTATTTTTTTCTAAAAATGAATTTTCTGACTATAAATGTTGCCCTGCAGGTAGGGCTGCACGATAAATCGAAATGGAATCGAGATCGCGATTCGACAGAAGCTGCGATTGTCATGCGTATCTTTCAGTGAAGCACGGTTCTGTGATCAGTAGTAAATCTTTATCCGAAGGCCAGAGGGCGCTCTCGCGCTGAAACTCCAAATACACCTCGCAGAAGAAACCCATAAAATGCCAATCGCTGCAGCTGAATAAACAAGATTCAGCTGCTTTCATTGATTCAACGTGACTAATAAACGCACGACTACGGCAATATACGGTTTATCGGAGTTCTTATTATTATAATTTTCATTAAAATAAAGTATATTTATAATGCAATGCCTTTATCACTGCTTCGAATACTATGAAATATGTTGCGTGCCTTATTCTGTGTAAGAAGCCACATCATCTCACAGAAGGATTTATTTCAAACACTCGACTGACGTTATGAAGTGAGTTTGGAGTAAAAATATGTTATTAAATGTGGTATTTTCACATGCTTTCAGATGGAGCAGCATTTACTTCACAGAGCCGTAGTTCACTGAGAAGCTATGCAAACAAGCTGTCATTATCGCAAACGATTTCTTCGATTTCATAATCGCGCAATAAAATCGTCAGCGAATATTTATATATTTTTTTTTGCGTAACTTGTCAGTGAACTTCGGCTATGTGTAGTTAATTCTGCTCCATCTGAAAGCACGTGATGATGATTTCCTTCTGATTACAGAACCGGCATTACTAACAAAATGCGCATAACAATCGCATTCGATTAATTGTGCAGCCCTAGCTGCAGGTATAAAACACACCTGTGATATAAATGAATGTGTCTTGACATTGTCTAAGAACACTGCTTATCTGCAGTAAGCTTACCAGTGTTATTTTAGTATCATTGAGATGCTATTATAGTTTGTATTAATATTTAAAATGAGTTTTTATTAGTGCTGTCAAACGATTAATCGCATCCGAAATAAAAGTTTTTGTTTACATAATAAATGTGTGTGTACTGTTTATTTATTATGTATATATAAATACAAACACATACAGTAAATATTTTTACAATATATATACACATGCTGTGCAGCCCTAGCTGCAGGTATAAAACACACCTGTGATATAAATGAATGCGTCTTGACATTGTCTAAGAACACTGCTTATCTGCAGTAAGCTTACCAGTGTTATTTTAGTATCATTGAGATGCTATTATAGTTTGTATTAATATTTAAAATGAGTTTTTATTAGTGCCGTCAAACGATTAATCGCATCCAAAATAAAAGTTTTTGTTTACATAATATATGTTTGTGTGTGCTGTGTTTATTTATTATGTATATATAAATACAAACACATGCTAGTGTATATATATTGTAAAAATATTTACTGTATGTGTTTGTATTTATATATACATAATAAATAAACAGTACACACACATTTATTATGTAAACAAAAACTTTTATTTTGGATGCGATTAATCGTTTGACAGCACTAGATTTTATAGTTCCTGTTTTACATTTTCATTTTAAAGCTTTAATAATTTTGTTGTGTTTTTAATGAAAAATTGTAACAAAACAATTTAAAAACTAAAAATGATAATTTTATTAGTTTTACATTTCTATTTTTTCTTATTAATTTTATTCTTGCTTTAATTTTAGTTAAGTACATCAAGTTAAACTACATGAAAATGAGATGTTGCTTTTTAAAAAAATTTTTTGTTTGTTTCTGAAATAACTGTGACTTACTGCTTAAACCCATTTTAGCTTAGTATAATGCTTAATTTCTCTATACTTATTTTAGTATGTTATCGTATGTCGTCTTATCAACTGCATTGGCTCGCCTGCACCATTATTGTAATATGCTTTGTTTGCTTGTAAGACACGCTTCAGAAATGCATCACCAGCTACAGGAAGGCCTCTAACAACCATGTTTAGAGGCATATTTTTTCACAATCAAATTAGCTGAGTAATATTCATGCACTTTGTGCTAATGGTCTAATGGAGGCCTAGCACACAATCTCTTGCAGAGACACCATATTGATCTGTTTCAGACTCTCTCAATGGTCAAAGCAATCCATCATGAGGGGAAATGCTGTTTCAGAAAGTGCAGAGTGAAATATCACCATTGCTCAGTGGCGTTTTGATAAATATCACAATGACACTATAGTTTTGGAGTGGATTGGTGGTGTTCACCCTAGGGGCGGAGACAGTATGAGCGCAGTTTTATATCACTTCACCCTAAAGAGTGATTTAGCCTGCTGACCCAACAGCACTCGGCTTTAGTGTGGATTCACTCTGCCGCAGCCGTGGAGGAAAGAGAGAGATCATGCGGTGGGTAGGATTCAATATTTGACTGAGGGGAATTAAAGCTGGATGATCTGATTAGGACTCCAGACACCACTGTCTCTTTTGAAGGGATGATACAGATGGTCAGGGTAAAGGTGAAAGATGACATACTTTGCCAAGAGACACTTCAGATGCAAAGAGCACTAAGCACACAATAGATGGAGATAATCAGCCTTTATGGCTGATGACACATCTTGTAAAATAGAAGTTTTGTCTCTGCACATTTTCATTTTATCATGCCATGTTTTTAGTCCATTATAGTTACATTTGGTCACGTAACACATAATTATGTGTGATAAGCTGGTTACTTGAACAGTGGTGTTTGCTAAGGCAAACGCTGTATTGCTCATACAAAAGGGATTTAAACAAACCTCTAACCAAAACCATTACACTTTGGCTCGTAACTCGTTGTGCTATAGATATTATATAGATGGTGACCTCAAATTATTTGGTTGGTTGAGAAGAAATGTGTGTTATTACTAAGCAGCCAGTCTCATGATGGTTTTATGAAATATTTTCATCTTATTTAGCCTAAATTCTGCATTCAGTTCAATTGAATTCATAAAAACCTTAACATTTTAATAATTTATTAGAATTGAACTATAATAGTGCCCTATGAATATTTTTTTTTCTGTGATGTATGATTTAATACAAAATATTATCAAAAACAATGGTATCCAAATAAGTGCATACAACTTAAACAAAAATGTATTCCTTTTAAAATGTAAGTCTGAAAAATTGAAATTGTTTTTGGCAGACAAAGTTCTGCACAACAGTTTTACTGTTTAAATTAAAACATGGATGAAAAAGAGTTCATATTGTGTGATATTCCTTAAAAAATAAGGTTTTATTCAACTGCATTATTGATATTATTTCTTTGAGAAGTTCTTTGTACAGTAGTATAGTAAATTATGTAATATGTTTGTCATCATTGCTTAAAGTTAAACCAAACTTTTATTTTGACGGTTGTAGTGAAGACCTTTGAGTTTCTGTGTATCTGATTATTGTTTTATCAAATGAAATGGTGAAATGTTCTTAAAGTGACTCTTAAGCCCTGTTCACACCAAGCACGATAACTATAAAGATATAGTTCCAAAAATCCAGTCCACACTACAACTATAACGATAAAGGCACAGGAATCACTTTCAGAACGATTTTTTCCCAGCTGATGAACGAAACAAACATTGGCAGCCAATCAGAATCTATCCTGCTGTGACGAGCTCAAGAATTTAAAGCGGCAGACGCAGGTACGCTTAGAATAAACAGACGATATCGTCCGCTGGTGTGGACGCTAATATCGTTATCTTTACAGTTCTCGTTCTTGGTGTGAACGGGCCTTTATAGAGCAGCTCTGGAGAAGACGTTCATGTGGTGTATCAGTGTTGGCTGCATTACTAAGTAATATATTACTTTTTCCTTGAAAAAAGTAAAGTAAGGGATTACTCTTAATTTTTTTTGTTATTTAATAACTTCTGATGTAACTGCATTAAAGACTGTGTAGACTACAGAACATGTAGTGGAACATGTGTGGTTTTCACATCACAATTTAACATCTAATGTTAAAATGTATGTAACCTTTAAATACTTTGGTCCGTTCAAGAGCAGTTTCATATTTGTATTTCAGCAGCACAGATACTATTCCACATCGCCATTTGATTAAATGTAAAGCCCTCCTTTTGATTTGTTCATCCACTTTTTGCTGTGAAATTCTGTGTTAAATAGTAAATTGCATTTTAAGGACTGGATTCTGTAATTCTGTCCACGTTTTCCATACTGCGTGAATCATAGGTTGTGAATGGCTCTGCTCTTGTTTTGGGTTTGCTGTCATGTGTTGTGTGTGGATATAAAACCACACATGCAGAAATGTTGAGTGCACATGAGCCCTATATATGTCGTCCAGCCTCAGGCGAGTGAGGCATGCTGAGCTCGTGTGCCTGGTAACGTGCATGTTAGCTTGAAAATACTCTTCAAAAGAGCAAGTCCTCTTTGGGAAAGTTAATTAAGGAAAAATCCTTAATTGGGATGTGGGTCCTCAGAGATCACAGCTGACCTTGTTTCACGGCTGTTACTAAAAATGTCTGAATATCAGATTGTGCTGTTATTATGAGTGATGAGAATTCACTGCTCTGACATGAGACCAATAGTAACGTGTCAGTAATAGAGTAAGGATGCACAATAATCATAACCACGCTATCTGTATTTTTTTTTTTTTTTATTATGCAAAATATTTCAAAATATTTTTGCCTCGATTATCATGCTAATTAGGTTATGGCTAATATCACAAATTATTTTGTCCCCAATATAAAATAATGATTAACCCATAAAGGTTTTTTTTTTTTAACTGATGGCTTTTATCTAGAGAGCAGATTGGTAATATATAATAATGCAAAGATGTGCACAACATTACTGAATTAACATGTATATAAAATACTTTTTCTTTAAAATCGTGGCAAATTTTGAGACTAGTCAGGATGACCACTTATGTGAATTGACACTTTTATTGGCGTTCATGTTAAAAAACACACAACTGGCCAATATGTCACTCTGGGGTTTGTTTCCCAAAAGTTTTGTTTGCCAACTATGGTCATAAGTTCCATAGAGAGCAACATGGTTTAATGATTTGGTGTTTCCCAAAACCATATTTCCAATGAACATTGCAAACGTGTGTGGTTGAAACTACAGCTCTTGACCTGTTAGTTAGTATGAGATCATGCTCTTGGGTAAAATAAACAAGCTAACAAATGGTACATTCTGTATATTTTATTCCATATATACACATTTCATTCTATGTCTTTTAGTTTGTCAAGAGAATGAAATCACCATTATTGAAGAGTGCACATGTGTGAATGTGCTGTAAATATCCTGGAGTATGACATAACCAACCCAGGCTCATTAGAAATACGTGCCTCTAAATACATTTATGCAACACTGTTATTTTGTACCTTACTGCACGTTTCGTGGCAGTTTCAAAGTGAAACGTCCAGTGAGTGGCACTAAAACGAGGGTTCAATACGTGACCCTGGCACGTATTGCTGTTTTTATTATGTTGCTTCTGGTACGTTATCATGGTGGTTCATAATTCAATAAATAACCAGGGAATGTCGCTAAAAGTCAATACTCTATCGTGTTGGAAATATCCCCTACACCAAACCCAACCCTAAACCTACCCGATAGTGTTAACCAATGCAAAACTGGTATAAAAAACGCATTTGTTGATGCAACCGTGCCATTTGAACTTCCTTATATGCAGGTTTTTGTGTAACCGTAGTTTTACGGAATTCGCACCCGAGCTCTTCACCTCACAAGTCGAACTCTGTACTGCGTGAATATATATATTTAATTTACACAGTGAACAATGTAGTTTTTTTTAATAAGCTACATTTGATTGCTTTATACAATGCATGTAGCGTTTCTTATTTATTTGTTCTATTGTAGTTTTTGTCCTATTGCTTGTAATTCTTATTTAATTCCTGACTGTTTACTTGTCTTCAGTAAGCTTTTTTTTGTGATATTGACACTGGTGACATAGGAATTATGAAATTTCAATGGTATCAAAAATGTTGATGTCATCAAGACCTTACACTGGAAAAAATTATACTACTTTTTTTTTTAAGGTAAGAGGTTGCAAACAATTTATTTTAGCTATATTTAAAAAAGAATGCTGAAAGTTAGTCAACTAAATTTGTTTATTTAAATGTAGCTAAAATGAATTGATTGCAACCACTTACCTTAATTTTTTTTAGTAAATTCAATGAATCTTTTTTTTTCAGTGTATTTAAAGCAAAATAACTATATCGGGATATATATCTTTACTATGAAATAGAATGACTTGTATCGTGATATTAAATGTTGGTCATATCACCCACCCCCAGTGCAAACAGAACTATAAACAAACCCCACATAAAAATGAGAAGCATTGTCTTCAGGAACAGGTAAGGCTATAAAAAAACAAACAAAAGAGCACTAAATATATAGTTCAGTCATGAAACTCTAGATGGCGCAGGCAACTGGTTGTTAACGTAACCGATGATATTCAGCGAGTTAAACGACTTGGCACAAGCTGATTGGTTCATACTGCATATGCAGCCAATGAGCTTACTGCCTTGCATTTATATGGCTGGCTAGCATTCACTTGAGATTCCTGCAGCGCGCTTTCAAAGTTTCTCTGAAACCCTCCACCTTCCCCAGCTCCACCTGTATAGATCTGCTATGGGTTATGCTATTTGTGCAGCAGCAGTATGTCTTAAATACTCACGGCACCGTATCGCCAATTAAAACATCGTCTATATGATAAGGAACAAACACAAAACTAGTCTGACGCGCCCTTAAAAAAATTTAATGACCAAATAAAAAGCGTATTCACTAATATTTACAGTGCTGCTTATAGCATATTTTGCATATATGGCATGACGGGCTTATGCATGTGTCTCTTTGTGTCAGTATTTGACCAAGCAGATGGAGATGTTGCGCGAGATGAACGAGCAGCACGCTAAAGTGTACGAGCAGTTGGATGTGACGGCTCGAGAGCTGGAGATAACCAATGAAAAACTGGTGCTGGAGAGCAAAGCTTCTCAGCAGAAGATCGACAGGTGAGCCATACGCTGTCATAGCATCATGGGAACCACACTACACAATAGGGCCTTTCGCACGGCTTTAGTTCCAGAACTAAATGTACGGTACTAAAGTACTGGGACGATTTTGCGCGTACTATTTCCCAGTACCATTTAAAGGGTTGCATTTGCACCGACAGTGTGTACTAAGAAGTGATGTAAGCCGGTCGACAGCGTCGTCATTTGTGCGCGGCGTTCAACAACAGAATGCATAAGTTTAATTCGTAACTTTGGATGGAGACATTACTGATTTATTCAACTACTGAAGTTCAACTCTCTTAAAACATCGTCTATATGATAAGGAACAAACACAAAACTAGTCTGACGCGCCCTTAAAAAAATTTAATGACCAAATAAAAAGCGTATTCACTAATATTTACAGTGCTGCTTATAGCATATTTTGCATATATGGCAGGACGGGCTTATGCATGTGTCTCTTTGTGTCAGTATTTGACCAAGCAGATGGAGATGTTGCGCGAAATGAACGAGCAGCACGCTAAAGTGTACGAGCAGTTGGATGTGACGGCTCGAGAGCTGGAGATAACCAATGAAAAACTGGTGCTGGAGAGCAAAGCTTCTCAGCAGAAGATTGACAGGTGAGCCATACGTTATCAAAGCATCATGCGAAACACACTACACAATGAGGATTTCAGAAGTACTGGTACTTCAGTACCGAAAATTTGCAACAGTACCAGCTCATCTATTGTATCTCTCCAACACGCACAGGTTCCTTAAATCAAAGTCTTACTCTGGCAAAGGCCCAGCTCTTGAATATTAATTTGGTCATGCTGACTTTGCATTATAACCTTCCTGGAACGTCAAACAATTAATATTCATGAGCTAAACCTTTGCTTTAGGAGGAATCATGACAGTCCCAACACTACAGCCTTGAAGTTTTTTCTCTGTATTCCTTTTTCAGTTATTAAAGGGTTAGTTCACCCAAAAATGAAAATTAGGCTGCATTTTACTCACCCTCGAGGCATCCTAGGTGTATATGACTTTCTTCTTTCAGACGAATCCAGTCGGAGTTATATTAAAAATTGTCTTTGATCTTTCAAGCTCTATCGTTCCACTCAGCAGGTGTTGCATGCATCAGTCCAAAAGACGTGAAATAAAAAGCGCCCT